CGACTTGGGTTTTTCCTGGGGGCTCGCTGCCAATTTTCAAAAAAAGGTGGGGAAGAAACCCCCGCCATTTTTGTACAATGGAATGAACACCAATTATGGGGCACGCAGCCGGTCAATACGCGCACACACCACCCAAGGAAGAGCCCCCCCCACACACACAACCCAAGGAAAGAGGACACCCGCCCTTACCTCTGACCCACACAAACACACCCACAAGAAACACAACACACACACACACACACACCACACACACACACACACACACACACACACACACACACACACACACACACACACACACGGATACTTGGACACAGACGCAAATGCACTGTACAATCATTCATGTACACGAGCACATGCTATGAACGTGGGTCTTCTTCGCACCTCCACGGCCGCTTTTCGCACGAGGACGCTGTTCCTGCAACAACGCCACCGATAGGCGAGCATCTATCAGGACAGCACTGATGTGCACACACTTGCCCCATACCAGCGCCACCACTCAAAGCAAACCAATGTAGGGCCTCTCACCTCGATCATTTCCTGTGTGACGGGCTCAAACGAAGGGGCAGGCTCCACCTGTATGTGTACGAGAGCACAAACACACGTCAGCGCGGATGAACGTAGGCCACGCACACGCACGTGGGTCATTTCATTTCATGGGCATGCAATTGCCATCTTGCGCTGTCACAATGCACAGCAGCAGCAGACCTGCACATCCACATCGACGTGCACACAGTCTTCCGAAATCTCCTTCATGCGAGAAACGGCCCTGTTGACTCGGTTATCCTGGAAACACATAGTGCAGTGGCCACAAATCGCGGCAGTGTCAAACAGTTGCAGTGAGCACGGTATGTCAGCAATGAGGCAGAGCACGGATCGCGTACAGGAGGATAAACACACACATAGGAACCACCAAAGCCACAACCATACGCACACACACACACACATACATACATACATACATACATACATACATACATACATACATACATGCACGTACCTCTGCGTCATCGCACAAGACGCGCGCCGACGCCTGCATTGCCTGCAGTGCTGTGGTGGTGGCCGTGGCGACGGTGCGGATGCGTCGCCACTCCATCTGCGCCAGCTCGTTGTACAGACCGGGCAGTGCAACCGTGGTCGCCTGGCGGGTCCGCTGCTCGTGGCTTGCGAGGGCGTCGCGGTACACCATCTCACGGCCAGTCTTCGGAGGAAGAGGGAGAAGAAGAACCAAGGAGAGGGCATGATACGGATAATGATGCGACCACGATGGTGGTGATGGTGAGGTGATGGTTGGAGAAAAATACAGCGCCGAGGGAGAGGTGTGCCATGCAGTGCACGACAGCCGCAACAGCACACGCACAAGGGCAAGGGAGGCAGGATAGACAAAAAAACACATTCACAAGAAACAACCAATAGTGGCAGGCACGGAGAGAGACATGTAGACACAGACAGACAGATAGACACCTGGTCCTGTTCCAGGCGCTGTTTCTTGAGGTCGTCTGTCTCGGTGGCAGCTGCTGCCGCAGCACGATGAAACTTCTTCTCCTCCTGATGGCCCCCCCCCCACACACACACACACACATGCAGTTGAAGAAGAGTGAGTGGCCCGGGCGCATGCATGTGCGAACAGCGTTTGAGGATAAACTCGCTGGCTGAGCCAAGCAAGGTGATCGTACATTTGGGCGCACGCGCATGTCAGCAAACCTGTTTGACTTTGGAGTGTGATGTTCTGCACTCCTGGATGACCTTGCGACCAAGGGACAGGCTGGATTTCTGACATAAGCAAGCACGGCGCGTGTGTGGGTGAACGAAAAAAGCAAAGAAGAAGAAGAAGAAGGAGAAGAGGAAGAAGAGGAAGAGGAAGACGAGGAAGAAGAGGAAGAACAGGAAGAAGAGGAAGACGAGGAAGAAGGGGAAGAGGAAGGAGACGGAGGGGGGTTGGGGCAACGAGAGAAAGAGAGGAGATCGCTGCAAACATGCGCACGCACACGCACTTCAGCCTTCTGCTCCTCTTCAAACACACACCAGTTGTGGCTCGAGCGTGGTTCGCATCTGAAGGATGGGACGACACACTTGATCGTGCATGACCTTGCTGCATTGTTTGTGTGCTTGGGCAATGGTGCGCAGGGCGTCCACCGTCTCCGACCAAGCTGCAGCAAGCTCCCTGTCATGTGCAGTTGCAGCGAAAAGGGCGAGAGCAAGTATGTATGTGTGTGTGTGTGTGTGTGTGTGTGTGTGTGTGTGTGTGTGTGTGTGTGTGTGTGTGTGTGTGTGTGGAAGGAACCTCGATGTGCGTGGTTGGATGTGCACATGGCCGATTGCGCATGGCAGGTGGAGCAGAGGGAGGGGGGATGAGTCACTGACGGGTTGTGTTCTGCCGGTGTGCTGTTGAAGAGGCGAGCAGTGTGTGCGTGCCGGGACGAGCACAGGGCCTCCAAGTCTGCCGCAAACGATGCTTGGAGCTTCATTGCTTTCTCGAAGAAGGTGAAGTATGATTCGCTCGCATCCACGCCATCCATCAGCTCCGCTGCGCGCCCATCAAAGGCGCGCTGTGTGTTGTGGGACAGGGTGGTGCGTGTGTGTGAATGTGTGTGTGCGAGGGTGTTGCGCGCGTGTGTTGATAATTAAGTTGGTAGAATGACGCACACAGGCAGGCAGGCAGACAGACAGACAGACAGACAGACAGACAGACAGACAGACAGACAGACAGACAGACAGACACACACACACACACACACACACACACACACACACACACACACACACACAGACACACCCAGACACACCGCGTATTCCTGCAGTGAGGTGCCACTCATCCTTCTGGTTGTTCCTTGTTCTTTGTGCATCAAATCGATTTCTGGTTTTTATTTGTAGTTGCGGCTGAAGTGTGTGTTGACGCGATCCAGTGAGAGCAGAACGCGCAGCGTGTGCACGATCGGGCCATCCTCCTCCTGCACAGTACACACGCGCACACGTGCACCGAGTGGCTGAGTGCGGGAAGCGGGAGGAAACGAGCACGAGTACGCGGAGCTTCCGCCAGCAACAGCAAGCAGCGCAGCCAGGCATGTCAGTCCACCTTTCCAGCTCACCTTGATGATGCTGCCTTCAAGTTGTATGCCCAGCTCGTCTCCGCCGGTGACACAGAACCGCAGGCTCTCGCCTTCACTAAATGCATAATCATCTGACAGTGCACGAGCAAGAGGTCGCGAGAAAGACAAACGTGGCATGAGCCTTCTAGCAGTTCAACAACTGGTTACACTCAAACAACAAGTATCAATGTGAACAGGTGTGTGCCAACAACAAGCACCAACAATGAACATGCTTGCAAACCGCATCTACAGGTAGTACCACACCAGAAGATGTACACACACACACACATGTACACATACACATCCACACCTACACACCTCTACGTTCGTCGGCGGTTTGGTGGTCGATTGGGACGAGCTGGGAGGTCTCGGCGACGACTGCCATGGAGCCATCGCGCACGACCACGTCCACCAGCAGCGCATCGTCCAGCGAGGCCGAAAAGTGCTCGCACTTCCACACGAGCGTCGTATCGGTGGAGTCGCACGGAAGATGCGACTGACGTGCATCTGGCCCCAGGAGCGGCAGCACAGCATACTTCGCACCGCCGCGGTGGCCGCCACCTGCTGGGACCGTTTGTGTGTGTGTGTGTGTGTGTGTGTGTGAATGAGAGATTGAGTGAATGAGTGAGTGTGTGTGTGTGTGTGTGTGAGTGTGTGTGAGTGTGTGCGTGTGAGTGAGGTTTTGTGCGTCGATGCACACACGCGTGTGTGTCAACATCAGCAAATGCAGCGACAAATTGCAGATCATTGGTTGGTGTCAAACAAAGTTCATATTCGCACTGCCACATACACATACACGCACTGACCTAGAGAGGTGAAGGTTGGCAAACAGTCCACTGGAGAGAAGGCGTTCAAGAACACGGTGTGTTGTAACGTGCGCACTTGCACAACCACGTGATAATCAATCATGCCTGCACATGGGGATTGAGGAGAGGCATGGCGACGCAGAAACAAACATCAGCGCAGGTTCGATGTACAACGCGGTGATTACACGGTAAACGTGGCCAGGCACATTGCCACGGCACATACACACAGGCATGCACGCTTGCGAAGGCGTTTTTGGGGGTGTGAGTGAGTGAGTGAGTGAGTGAGTGAGTGTGTGTGTATGAGTGTGTGAGTGCGCGCGCGCGCGTGTGTGTGTGTGTTCGCACCGTATCTCGTGCTAATGTCGTCGTCAACAGCAGCTGCTGGTGGGGGCACGTACATCCTACAGGAAAAGCAAAGAGGCAAGCACACACCAACGTGGTAAACGCATGAGTGAGGGGTGTAACATGAAAGATCATGCACATCAACAACAGCACCGGCGCCACGAACGTCACAGCAGCAGCAACAGCACCCACGAGCACCTCGTTTCCGACGCGTGCAGAACTGCGCCGAGGAGGGCGGCATATGTGACGTTGAGCGCAACAAATGCCGGCGTGTGGGATGGGTCATCCTAACAAGCGGTGCAGTGCGACGACGACCAAAGGGGAGTAGGGTACATCGAAGAAGAAACGCGGGAAGATTGAATTGTTGTGAACACGCACACTTACATTGAGACACACAGACAGGAAAGAACACGCTCTTGTATTCAGACACACTCACACACGGACATGGACACAAACACACTCACACATACAGACATAGACACACTCACACACAGACATAGACACGAACACACTCACACACACACACACACACACAGACATAGACACAAATACACTCACACACACACACAGACATAGACACCCAGACACCCAGACACACACACACACCTTCCAGAGCCCGAGAACAAGACTGCGGTCGAGCGTGGTCAGCGACACCAAATCGGTTTGGGCCACGGGCGGAGCTGCCGTCACTGTCGCATGCTTGTATACGTGCGAGCGGCACAGCAACACCCGCGCCCTGGACCTACAACACACGTACACACGCACGCGCAGAGGGCAAGACCACAGCACAGCAGTAGCCATGTGAGCTCCATCATTGCAAGTCGTCGTCGTCATCGCCTTTGTCATCGAATGGGAGGCGGGAGGAGGGACGCGCCTGCATGCGTCGAGGCGGGGATCAGCGATGATGGAGAGAAGGACAGATACAGAATCGACGCGCTGCCAATCAATCTCGTTCAGCCTGAACAAACCACAGGTGCACGTGGCGTGTGTTGCCCGTGTGTGTGTGTGTGTGTGCATGTGTGTGTGTGTGTGTGCATGTGTGTGCGTGTGTGTGTGTGTGTGTGTGTGTGTGTGTGTGTGTGTGTGTGTGTGACGGAAGCAGAGAAGGGGCAATGTCGCACCACGGAGAGCAGGCACGGAAAGAGAGAGAGAGAGAGACACACACACACACACCCAGACACCCAGACACACACCCAGACACCCAGACACCCAGACACCCACCCACCCACCCACCCACCCACACACGCACACACACACACACACACACACACACACACACACACACACACACACACACACACACCCAGACACACACACACAGACAGACGTGCATGACTGACTTCTTGGTCCATTGGACAACGGTGCCAAGTCTGTGCTCAGCAGATTTGATGTGCTTTGCGATGACGTTGTGGGTTTGGTTGTCTGCTGTAATGCGCAACACGAAGACAGCACTTGCTTGCCTGTCATACGGAATTGGAACGGTGTGTGTGTGTGTGTGTGTGTCAGCAAAGGGAACAGGAGCAAGCACGAGCAGGAGTACATGGTGACGCAAGGAAGCACTGAAAGCACGTGTTCAGCACACACACACACACACATGCACCCACACCTCAGAAAGTTGCCCAAGTCCTGGCTCCCCGTGTATCTGTCTGGTGTCAGTGCGCCTGCCCGCTGCATAAATGCCTGTCGTGACTTGAAGATCCTGGTTGAGACGACACGACGTCGTTTCGAGGGGGCATGTGTGGATGCACGAACAACAAACGGAACCACACCATACATGCATTAGCCATCCATGTTCATACAGGCAGGCAGGCAGACAGACAGGCAAACAGACAGACAGACAGACACATACACACATAAACAGACACACATCTACACAGATCTACACATTTTCATCTACACCTTGTGAGGCACTGTTGTCGCCAGGTGATTGCATTGCCGCTCACTTTGGGGACCAGCTTTGGGAAGCGGCGCGCAAACACATCCTTCCACAGCCGCCTGTCAAGTCAAGACCCATCAAAGAAAACCGTGTGAGCAGACGCAGGTTATGTCACATGTGGTGAAGCTGGTGGTGGCAGGTCAAGGTGTCTGGGTGTTGCCGGTGCCTCCAACTCACTGTTGCTGGGAGGCCGCTTGCCAGTGCTTGCACGTGCACGCGCATCGAAGGATATCAACGGGATGCAGCCAGGAAAAGATGTGCTCCAACAGCTCCTCTGGCAGCCTGCCGTCATGGCACATGAACGTGAGGTTGATGGCCAATCAATCAAGGCTTGGTCTCACGTCATGTCGCGGTTCTTACCCATCCCCCCTCACACAGAGAGACAGAGAGACAGAGAGACAGACACACACACACACACACACACAGACAGACAGACAGACACAGAGAGAGACAGACAGACAGATACACCCACACCCACCCACACACCCACACACGCAGACACAAGGCATCATTGTGTCGTACGTTGCCCATGTGAGGTATGCTGCTGTGGCATCCCGCCTCCTGGGTTGACGGCGACGTGCCTGCTGCATCCTCATCCCACTCGTGCGAGCCCGCCCACGGTGAGCAGCGCGCCCTGGCACCCGCGCATCACCCGATGGCTTTCGTGTGCTCATGCTTGCTTGGCTCTCGACCACGACTTGCTTCGGTAACGGTTTTGGTTGTTGGCAACGACGATGGTTGTGATGTGACATTCGGCTCGAACCAGCGACGCCAGGTGTAACAAATCAAGGGGCAGCTAACAAAACACACGCAGACGCAGGGAGGCAGAGGGACTCACAGACACAGACACAGACACAGACACAGACACAGACATACAAAGAGACAGACGTGCAAAGCGTCATCGCTTCTGATAGGCATTGACATGTGTTGCAGTGGAGGACCAAGGGTCTGTTCGGGCATAGGCTGCGGGGTTGGTGATGCGACGGCCGCGCGGCAGATGCTCATCGACCCCAGCACCGCCGTTCGCGTCTGCAAAGATGCGGTTGCGCGTCTCCCTCGCCGCTGATGCCGGCCTGGACCTCCGTGCGCGCCCAGTGCCCGTGACGCGCAGGGGATCGTCAGCAACACCGGTGCCGGCGCCAGTCTCACCGCGCGCCCCACCAAACACGCGGCTGGCCGTGTCCCCATCACTGTTTGTCTTGCCAATGCGCTTCCTGGCACGCTCCTGTTGCTGCAGCGACCGGCCCAGCGCCCGCTGCAGCGTGCGATCATCCTCTGTCTCTGCGCTCCACGGATCAGACTGCTGTCGCGCCGTCCCCGTCTTGCGCTTCTGTTGCGTGTACTCGAATGTGCCGCCACGAAACAGGTCCGTGGTCACGTTCCCGCCCTGCTTGCCGCCGTCGCTGCCATCGCCATGGCGCTGCTTACCATGCGCAGCAGAGTCTGGCCGCTTCTTGCCCTTCTTCATCTCCACTTCCTCCTGGCCGCCGCGGTAGAGGCTGTCCATCCCACCCCCGCTGCTGGCAGGCCGATGCGACGACCGGCCTCGCTGCGATGCGGCCGTTGATGGCGGCAGCGCGTCTGCAACGTCCTTGCCCCAAGCAGACAACACGTCACGTGTCTGCCCGCTCCGATGGTGTGCCTGCCCTTTCTTCGCTTGGTTGTGCTCGTCGATGCCCAAGGACTGTCGCAGCTCATCTGATCGCAGCCGAATCGCCGTTGCCACATCGAACCCTTCCCCATATCTCTCAAACCCAGCCAGGACTTGTTGCAGACACGTCCCCATCGCCTCTGATGTGTGCGTGTGTGCTTGTGTGCGTGCGTGGTGTGTGCTTGTGTGCTTGTGGTGTGTGTGTGTGTGTATTTGGGTGTTGTTTGTGTGCTGGATCTGCTTGTGTGTGATTCTGTTCGTCCACCCTGCTTCCGCTTCCTTGCAACAGTTGCTGGTCGTGCGTGGTTGCTGCTGTGGGCCTGTTTTGTGTCAGGCTGGTCGTTGCCTGAGAAAATTCACGTGTGTCATTCACAAATACCGTGCGATTCAGCCCGACACCTTTCGCCCCTCCCCTTGTTGCCTTCCCCTCTCTCTTGTTTGATTGTTGTTGTTGTTTGTTGGGTTGCTGCTCCTCCTCCTCAGCACCACCCTCACCTGTCTGCTTTGCTGTGCGCTGCTGCTTGTGCGCTTCCTGCTTTGCTTTGTTGTTGGTGGTGCCGTTGTACACCACACAGTGTCTCTTCTCTCCCCTCTCTCGCTTACAGTAGCAGCAACAGCAGCGACTGCTTGTGTTGATCCTCCTCCCTTACTCTGCCTTGTTGGTTTGTTTCAGGGTCATCTGCACACGCCCTGCGGTGCACAGGTGTGATCGGTGAGTGAGTGCTGACGATGGGCGAAACGGGATGTGTGTGTGTGTGTGTGTGTGTGTGTGTGTGTGTGTGTGTGTGTGTGTGTGTGTGTGTGTGTGTGTGTGTGTGTGTGTGTGTGTGTGTGTGTGTGTGGAAAAAGCACAGCGATCAGCAATGTCTGCGCAAAGCGCGTGGCTTCGCCCCAACCACGTCCTTGACTGTTCACGATGCTGACTCCACCCGTGTGTGTGTGTGTGTGTGGAGGAGGTGGAAGCGCACGACGCGCCCTACTCCAGCCGCTTGCGAGGTCACACACTCACGTTGTGTATTGCTGTGGGCCTTCCTGTTGAACACTTTCAGATCAGACGCCGAAGAAGGCACGGAAACCCACTGCCGCTCTCTGTCTTGGTGCCCTGCAAGGATCCACATAACATCGTGTTCGTTGTCATCGACCTGCACCAGCCATGGCAGACCTTGACACGCTCTTGCAGGACTTTTCGTACCTCAAGTCTTTGGAACACAAGAACGAAGCTCCCAGGCGAGTGAGCAAGAAGCTCCTCCTCCCTCATCACAGGTGCGTGTGAGTGTGTGTGCGAGAGGGAGAGAGTGTACAGTTTGTGTATGTGTGTGTGTGTGTGCTCGTGTGATGGCGTTCATGTCTGCATGCCTTTGGTGTGTGATTGTGCTTGCAAGGCCGCTTCATGTGTGATTGCGTGTATGTGCGTTGGTGGCTTGCTTGCGTGCGTGCATCAATGCGTGAGTTACAACGCCTCACCTTGACCTTGACCTTGACCTTGACCTTGACCTTGACCTTGACCTTGACCTTGACCTTGACCTTTGCGCTTGGCTACTCCCGATCAGTGTGGAATATGTTGTGAAACACATCTTCTCCGAGACTGGCGAGCTCAACTTTGACCGCATCTACCGTCGGCCCATTGGTCAGTGCGCAACAGCCGGCGGGAAGGGGAGTGGCAATCAGTGCACGCCCGTTCAAAGCTGTCAGTGCATCAGTCAGTAGTGGCTTGCAATGAACCATGACAAGGCGGGGTCACCCCTGCATATCATCTGTTGGCACCGCCTCCCAACCCTGCTCATTGCCTCACCATCCATGCAACACCCCCCCTCCTCCTCCTCTTTCCAACTCCTGGTCCCAGGGTTTCGGTGCCTTCGGGACTACTGGTGCTCTGAGGAGTATGTTGGCGACCACGGCCCGCGTGCAAAGCTTGCGACGACGCTGTGCGAGGCCGTGCACGATTTGTCTGCGCAGCTGCCGGCAGAGGCGCTGGAGAGCGCAACGGAACTCAAGAAGAACCTCATTGACCAGGAGGTCGGCCGTACATGCGTACTTGTGTGCATGTGCATGCTTGTGTTTGTTTATGCGTGCATACGTGTTGTTTATACTTGCGTAAGCGTGTGTGTGTATGTTTATGCTTGCGTAAGCGTGTGTGTATGTTTATGCTTGCGTAAGCGTGTGTGTGTGTAAGCTTGCTTGTTTATGTGTGTGTGTAAGCTTGCTTGCTTGTCTGTGATGCAAGTTGTGCTTCCTCACACGTGCTTTTCGCACCACCTCCCTCCTGCTTTCCACACCTTGCCCCGTGGTTATCCTGCCATACCCCTGCGACCCCGCCCCCCCTCTCTCTCTCCATAACCAGGCGGTGCGTGCGCTGTGGTCTGAGGAGGCCGTGACGGCGCTTGACAGCCAGCTCGCCGCCCTCACCAAACGCGTGCGCGACATCAAGAACAAGGAGATGAACTCCAGCCGCGTTGCAGAGAAGGACGACACGGGTGCAGGCACCAGCGCGGCCGCTGTTGTGGCCGGGGAGGTGATCAAGATGGTGAGCATCAAGGACATGTTCCGTGCGTTTTCCGACCAGGCAAAGGCGTTTCTCTCAAAGGATCCGTGGCAGCATTTTCTCAGCAGGTGCACCATTTGCTCGGGTGTTTGCTTGCTTATATGTGTGCATGTGTGTGCATGTGTGTGTGTGCTTGTGCGTGTGCTTGTGTGCGTGTGTGTATACATGCGTGTGTGCATGTGCGTGTGTGTGCATGTGCATGTGTGTGTTGGATATGCAAGCGCCGTTCCTTGCACCCTTGCCTGTATCTTGCGCCTTTCCTCACCCCACACTCATTCCATCCATCACCTGCTTTCCTGATGGCGTGCAGCAAAGCAATGCGTCGCTACTGTCAATGGAAGCACCTCGAACTCAACATGAAGGTGGACACATGTGTACATGCGCGTGTGAAACTGCACATATTTGTGCAACTGCACATGCGCGTGCGTCTGTGTGCATTTGTCTCTGTGCTTTTGTGTGCCCATGTGTGTGCCCTCCTTCACCGCGTCGATGCTGTCGTCTGCCCATCAGGTGACGGTTGAGGACTTTGACGTGCACCGCATTCTCGGCCGCGGCGGTTTTGGCGAGGTCTTCCCCTGCAGGAAACGCGACACCGGCGCTGTGTACGTTGTCGCCCTGCGCTGTGACCCCATGCTCCACGCTTCATCCACAGCACAGCAGTCGTTGTGATGCCATCGTGTGCACGCGTGTGCGTACACGCAACACGTGGCCTGCCCCCACCCCCTACTGGTCCTCGCGTGTGAGTTTTCCTGCGTGTAATGCACGCCTGGCACTTTCGCCATCCAAACTCACAAGTGTATGTCTCTGGGTGTGGCCGTATGTGTGTGCGCGTGTGTGTGCGTGTGTGTGTGCGTGTGTGCGTGTGTGTTGGATGTGACTCAGGTTTGCGATGAAGAAGTTGTACAAGAAGCGGCTCAAGTCAAAGAACCAGGAGCTGGCTGCCGTGCACGAGCGAAACGTCCTCGCAGAGGTGATGGCAACGGTGGTGGGGAACTGCGTGTTTGTCTGTCCTCGTGGCCCTGTGTCCCTGCGTTCATGTATTCATGTGTTATTCCTTCAGCAACTTTTGTTGTTGACACCGTTATTGTCGCACTTAGAGCCTTGTTCTCAAACCCCCCCCCCCTCTTTCTTCCAAACGCGACAGATGAACTCCAAGTTTGTGACGAACCTCAAGTACGCGTTCCACGACGACACGACGCTCTATCTCATCCTTGACCTTATGGAAGGTACGCGCCACGCAGCGTCGAGAGGATGGAGGTTGTGCTGAAGTGCTACACGCACGCAGACACAGATACACGCACACACACGCACACACACACACACACACACACACACACACACACACACACACACACACACACACACACACACACACACACGCGCACGCACGCACAAGCCACTGCATGTCCCACGCGGTCGCTCATGTAACTGCTTCTTGCTTGTCGTACAGGTGGCGATTTGAGCTTTCACTTGAAGCGCAAGGGCACATTTTCCGTCGAGGAGGTGCGAACTATCACATGCTGGTTCATGTGTCTCTGCACGACTATTCTTCGTCCTTCCTCATTGAATGATCTCACTTCTTGATTTCAACCACATCCTGACACACGCACATACACACACACACACACACACGCACATGCAGGCTCGCTTCTACGCTGCGGAGGTTGTGCTTGGGCTTGCGCACATCCACTCGCGCAAGTTGGTGTATCGTGACCTGAAGCCGGCCAACATCCTGCTGGACGAGCATGGCCATGCTCGCATCTCAGACCTGGGCCTCGCCCGCGACGTCAGACACGGCTACCCAACCTCGCAGTGGTGCGTACCATGTGCATGTATGCATCCATGTGTGCGTGCGTGTGCGTGTGTGAAGGTGCGAGCTTGTGTGTCCGGGTGTTGTTGCTGAGCAAGCCTCTTGTCGTGGCCGTGTGGTTGTAGCTCTTGGTCTTCCGTTCCTTTGCTTGTGTTCACACACTCTGGAACCGGTCCTTGTGTGTTGCTGCTACATGCACTGCTCTCTCTCTCTCTCTCCCACCAACCAGCGGGACGGTTGGCTACATGTCGCCGGAGGTGCTGCAGTCTGGTGTCGAGTACGGATACGGATGCGACTGGTGGAGCCTCGGCTGCATGATCTTCGAATTCATCACAGGGTATCGCGTGCGTGTGATTGGCGCTGTTGCATGAGTGGATTCGTTTGCCTTTATCTTTGTTCTGTCTTGTTGGATGCACACAACCGTCTCTCCTCTCACTCACTCACTCACTCACTCACTCACGCACCCCTACCGCCCTCATGTTCATCACCACCGCTGTTGTCGTCGTCACAACCAGCGTGACGCCGTTCCGCCAGGTTCCGTCAACGAAGGACGAGGTCAAGGACCGCACCCTCAAGGAGGTGCGGCCACCGATGTTGATGGCGGCGCTGTTGCATGTGTTTGGGGGTGGAGGTGGAGTTGGTTGAACACATGTGTGTGTGTGTGTGTTTGTCGTCTCCGTCCGTATTGTCAGTGGGCTAGTATGCGTTCCCATCTACCTTGCCCAACCATCTTTGAACCATAATTCTCCCTCTTCACTGATAATTCCACACAACACCACGTTCTCAACACCCCCAAACACATGCACTCACGCGCGCACACACACACACACACTCTCTCTCTCTCTCTCACCAACTTATGCCCCCTCCCTCTCCTTCCAGGAGGTTGTGTTCCCCGACGACTTCCCTGCTGCTGCGCGGGACGTGTGCGAGCGGCTACTGCACAAGGACCCCTCCAAGCGCCTGGGCGCTGGCGGCGTGTCCGAGATCAAGCGCCACCCGTTCTTTGATGACGTCGACTGGCTGGCGCTGGCAGACCACAAGGTGGACCCGCTCATCAAGCCGTTCCAGGGGCAGGTGAACGCGCGCGACGTGTACGACATTGAGCGCCTGAACCAGTACGAGACGAAGAAGGTGGTCATCACCGCGGAGGACAACTCCAAGTACTACAGCACCTTCAACCACATCATGTCCCACCACTGGCAGCGCGAAGTCCTCAGTGAGTCTCCAGGCGTGCATGTGTGCATGCAAGTGCGTACATGTGTGTGCGTGTGCATGTGTGTGCATGTGTGTGTGCATGTGTGTGCATGTGTGTGAGTGTACACGGTGTGCACACGTTTGTCACTGTGTGTTGTGCTGCAGTTTCCGGCCTGTGAACCTTCATGCTGGCTGCCTGATTGTGTCATTTGCCATATTCTGTGTTCTCACATTGTCCACCAACCATCACACCACCCGCGCTCGTGAAGACTCTGTGTTTGATTCCGTGTCGCAAGAGTGCAACCGGGAGGAGACGAAGATGGAGAGCAGAATACAGACGCGCCTCACATCGTCCCGCGCACACACATGTACGCGCAACAGCCGAGCTTGACGTGTTCAAGCAACCCTTCATCATGCGCACATGTCGTCTGCACAAGCGACGCTTCACACACACACACACACACACACCGTTGATATGTCTATCTCACGCCCCGTCCTATGGCGAACGCGCGTGTGCGCGTGCGTGTATGTGTGCGTGTGCGGTGACTGCAGACTTCAACCCGCCATCGCGGGAGCGGGTTATGGAGGGGTATCTGCGCAAACTCGGCGGGTTCATGCGCCGCGCTTGGAAGAAGCGATACGTCATTCTCACCCAGGACAGCATCGCCTGGCTCACAGAACCTGTGGTGTGTGTGTGTGTGTGTGTGTGTGTGTGTGTGTGTGTATGTGTGTGTGTGTGTGTGTGTGTGTGTGTGTGCAAACGCTCTTCCTTCCTGAGATGACACAACCGTCTTGCTCACCCCGGCGCTCTGCACTCGGGTATAACTTGACCAACTCCATCTCATTGCCATGCCGGCCGACATGCAGACCAACGCGCGTAAAGTGCTTCATTTCGATGACGTGGCGACGATAGACAAAGTCCAGCAGGGAAGGGTTGCGTCATGCATTGCCATTGGCACAACCGATCGCATTTACACCTTCACATCAGAGGTACGCAGCGGTGGCGATGCTGATGATGGCGTTTGTGGTTGCTTGAGGGTGTTGTGGATTGCACGTTCTATCGCTTCGGTTGTGCAGTGCACCATCGTCTCGGTCGTCGCCACACCCCCTTCTCACACGTGTGAATGAACCTTGAAAACGCAATGCAGCACGACAGCGATTTCCAAGTCTGGATCACGAAGCTCCTCGTACGTGCCCGTTTTCGCTTTATCATGATTTTGGGCGAAATGGCCATGTTTTATTGCGCTGGATCGCGAACACCCCCGATTGACACAACCATACATGCGCACACACACACACACACACTCTCTCTCTCTCGTCTTTCGCACACTGTATCTCACTTACACACACACACACACACACACACACACGCAACACGTGCGACGCGGCGATGCCTTGTAGGAGACGTTCCACAAGTTCAAAGGGACGGAGGTTGTGACGCCCGGCCCGACGCTGGTGGCCTCTGCGCGGTCGAACGAGGCGGAGAACCCGTCGCGCCGGTCGTCGCGGTCAACGCAGGAAGCCGACGACGAGGAGTGATGGATGGGCCAGCACCCAGGGCACGTGGTTGGATTGGGTGGGTTTGTGTGGGTGTGTATGGGTTGGATGGGTTTGTATGGGTTGTGTTGGTTGGTTGATTGTGCCCCTGGGTTTGAAATGGTTACGGATGGCTTCCTTGGTGCGGGAGTGTTCTGGTGTTGCTGAATCCAGGTGTCTTTCCTGTCTGGTTTTCGTTGATGCACGTGCCTCTCGTTACTGCTCCTTGATGCGCTCCCCTCTTGCGTGCGTGTGGATGTGAGGTTTCCTCTCATGCCCACGCTCATTGCCTGTTGTCGCTTGTGTTCCTCTGCTGTCTTTAGCTTTTGTCACCATGGTCATGTCATTTTCATTAAGTTTGCATCGTCACACACGTCACGTGTGTTGTGCTTTCATTCACTTGCTGCTTGCTGCTTCATATGCCTTCTTGCCTGCCTGCTTTGCGCACACTCCTGTTGATCATGACACGTTGTTTTGGTTTTGTGGTTTTGTGAGTATCACACATTGCGCGCATGATGTCGTGGTTGTGTACAGCGTGTGTGTGTGTGTGTGTTTGTTGTGTCCCCTTGCTTGACCCGACACGCACTCGCATGCCACCACGTCCACGCTCGCACGCTGTGCTGGTTGTGCATGTGTGCGTGCGCTCTACGCTTTCTTGTGAGTGCGTGTTGGCATTATGCTTGTCGTGCTTGCGTCGTAATTCAGTGCTGGTGGTGCGACTGATGCCGAGCCACCGAAGTAAAACATGCCTTCAACAACACATTGGTCGCTGCACATGCACAAGCGTGTGGATGACAAACAAGGGTGTTTCCGTGGCACAACAAGGATGCACACGAAAGTACGCACGTGTGCTACATACATGGGAGATGAGGGGGAGGGGGAGGGTGTGGTGGTGTAGGATGCTCGGAGAAGTGCGGGCAACAACAATAACATTGAAGTGGGAGGGGAGGGGCATTTGCTTTGGATTATGCGGTGTTCTTCAAAGCATCGACGGCCATCTCCCGTGCCTGAACATCCCATGTCAAATGCGTAGAACAAGGTGAAGGAAGGCGAGAAGGGGTTGTGAAGAGACGACAACGCCAGAGCAAGCCAGCAATGCAGTGCTTTCCAGAGGCACACAGACACACAGACACACAGACACACAGACACACAGACACAGACACACACACACACACACACACAAAGACACACACACACACACACACACACACACACACACACACACACACACATCATACGTGGCTATGATGGTCTTCTCGTGGTTACGGGCCAAGAGCTCGCCGAGGTGGGGCTTCCTTGTCTGGTACAGGTATCCGTTCACGAAGAGCGCGACGGCGGCGATCACAACCAGCAAGGATACGCCCCGCTGAAAGGTCCGGGATGGCGATGCCATGGTCTTTTTCTTCTTCTTCAACGACCGTGTCACTGAAACAGCAAGCAAATGGTGCTACCTTGGTCAGCAAGACAAGCAGGACGGGGGGACAGGGGGGGGGGGGAGGAATGGACGAGAGAGGACGCCTCTTGAGGAGGAGTGATTGGCAGCACTGGCTCGATCGTCAACAGAAACAACAATAACGGCCATTAATAATCGCTCCTCTCTGATTCATTTCCAACCACTGACAACGGCAACAACCGCGTTGTTGAATGCCATCATCATGCTGGTGTCACGGATGCGGATGAGCGTGCTGGCGCTGGTTGCGCTGCTTGCGCTGAACGTGTATGTGTTTGTGGAGCGATCCACGCTGGAGAAGCAACTTGAACGCCAGGAACGCGCCTATGACAACTCCCTCAACATCATCAGGTTGGTGTGCGTGTGTGTGTGCGTGTGCGTGTGTATGTGTGTGTGTGTGTATGTGTGTGTGTGTGTGTGTGTGTGTGTGTGTGTGTGTGTGTGTGTGTGTGCAAGAGGGGCTGTGTATTCACAGTTGGTCTCCTGGGCTTGGTGGTGCTTGTGCTTGCACACCAGCGACTGTCGGGAACAGCTGAAGATGCTTGTTGACGATCGAAACAAGTTGCGGAAGGAGCGGCGTGAGGTTGTCGTGGAGGAGAACGGTACGCAACTATCGTGTTTGTGCTGCTTCCTTCCTTGCTGCCAATGCCCGGCTGCTCTGTTTGGTCGCAGCAATTCCTCAATTCATCGTGCGCGGTCTACTCTGTTTGTGGCTGCGGCAGGACTCCTCCTCAAGGAGCAGGCCAAGCTTGAGACATGCCAAGAGGAACTGGAACAGATCAAAGGTACGACGTGCTGCGTTTGTACATGTGTACATAGGTCAGTGTTTGCCTGTGTGTGTGCTTGTGTGTCGGTGTATGTGAGTGCGTTTGTGCGTATGTGCGTATGCGCGCATGTGAATGTGCGTCTGTCTTACGTTGTTACCGTGTTCCTTTTCTCGATTCGCACAGGGAAGGACATGCACGAGGCCGTGTTCAACCGAGCCGTGTTTGAGGCGCGCAGACGCCGCAGCGTATATCTTCACGACTCCCTCGCTGCCATCCAAGCAGTAGCCCTCATGTCAGGTAGGTGTGTGTGTGTGCGTGTGTGTGTGTGTGTGTGTGTGTGTGTGTTGTCGTGCCTTTTGTGTCTTGATGGGGTTCGTGTTGAGTGCGACCTCAGCCTTCCCTCCCCCCCTCCCTTCCTCAACCTCGCCTCGCCGCCCACCACCGCTCGTCGCCTCCCACCACCAGGCCGCACACCGGGATCGGTGCTTGGCGAAGACCCCGACGACGAGATGGTGCGCAACACGCTCATCGCCGCCACCGCATCCCGCCTCCAGTGCGATGTGGCGAGGCTGCAGGCGCTGCCAACGCCGGTAATCACGGAGGTGGCGCTGGGTCTGTTGCAGGAGGAGCGACAGCAGCAGCAGCAACAACAGGAGGGGGATGTGGAACAAGACGCACAGGGCGGAGATCAGCAGGCAATGGGCGCTAGAGGAGAAGATGACACTGCACACGTCAACAATGCATGATGATCGTGGACGCGTTGGTGGGCATGTGTGCGTATGTGTGTTTGTACCTGTGTGTGCGTGCGTGTGTGCGCGTGTGTGTTTGTATCTCTCTCTCTCTCGCCCTCCCTCTCTGTACTATCTGTGCTGTCTGTCTGTCTGTCTCCGTCTGTCTGTCTGTTTCTCTCCTTCTCTGCACTGTCTCTGCAACCTTGCTGTTGTTGCTGTTACTGTGGAGCACAGGTGGTGTTGCTTGAACAGACGTTGCTACACCCAATCGTTTCAAGGGCACATGCATGTGTGCTGCCTTGATGCAGTTAAACTCCAATCACCTCACGAGCAGCCCAGCGAGAAGAGTCAGTGGCACAACAGGAAGGGAATTGCATTGCAAGAGCCGCAGTGCCGTCAACAGCACCTGGCGGTCAGCTTGCACATGGTCGCGAACCAGCGCGACGACCACAGACAGGGATGATGGCGCAACAAAGGAACATGGTAGCAGGCATAGGGTGTCGTTTCCAACCACACAAACACACACACACACACACACACACACACACACACACACACACACACACACACACGCTCAGCTATGTGAACTTTGGCGCCTTCTTGCCCATTGCCTCCAGTGCCGCGACCCAAGATCCGTCTTCCAACTCGTCCTGTGATCATGGATCACACACACACACATACACACACATACACATAGAGCGAGTGAGGCGAAACGGGGGAAGCGGATGGAGGGCGTTGGCACGCACGCACGCACGCAAGCGCAGGCAGGGACGTAACGATGGACGGACACACACACACACACACACACACACACACACACACACACACACACACACACACACACACACATACACACACATACAACACACACACACACACACACACACACACACACACACACACACACACACACACACACACATACACGCACGCGCACGCACGCACAACACACAGACAAACACACCGTACTTACCAGTTCGTCGAGGTCATACATGGTGGCCAGGTGATCCCAGATGTCCTTGACAGTAAGGGAGGGCTCTAGTCGCACCAACTGCATGTACACCATGGCCATGTTCATGTGCTTGTGCACGCCTGTGTGTGCGTGTGCGTGCACGCGTGTAATGAGTGCATTAGTGTTGTAGACGGAAAAGACGTGAGGCGAATGAAGCGGACTGCAACCACATGTCGGTAGCAGGGCGGCAGTGGCAGAAAGAGCAACGACAAACACACACAGACAGACACACACAGACAGACACACACAGACAGACACAAACACAGACACACACACACACACAGACACACACACACACAGACACACAGACACACAGTACCTGCCACTCTGTGGTTGAGCATGGCGTGGAACAAGGCTGTCTCCAGCTGCTCTGGCCACTTGCCAGGCACAAGATGTGTCGCTTTCGGTGGCATCGTTCAGTGGCGCGGTTTCTTGGATATGGGTCGTTCGACTTTTATGGTGTCGCATGTAACCGCGACGTACCGCGACCATACAGAAAAACAGAGACAAGCAGCAGCGTTGTTGTTGTGCGTGATGACACAGACAGACAGACAGACAGACAGACAGACAGACAGACAGACAGACAGACAGACACACACGCACAGACACAGACAGACAGACAGACACAGACACAGACACATCAGGCAAAGGGGTTGCTCTCGTGGAGCTGGCGCGATGGCTGGTCACCATCATCACCAAGCAGCGCTGAGGGGTCATCATCATCATCAAAGTCGACGTCATCATCCTCGTCGTTGTCATCCCCATTGATCTGTTCGTCCTTGCTGCCATCATCGTCATCACCAGCCTGCCTGGCGCTCACCATCTCCACCTCATCATACAGGTCTTCATCTTCCATCAGCGTCACCCCACCTTCCTCCTCCTCCTTCTCCTCCTCCTGTTCTTCCTGCTCTTCTTCTTCCTCTTCTTCTTCCATCTCCTCCTCTTCCTCTTCTTCATCATCACCATCATCATTGGCAAGTTGCCGCTGCAACTCCTGAATGCGTGCACGCAGCGCCTTCTCTTCCTCGTCCATGTCCTCCTCATCTTCTTCTTCCTCTTCCTCCTCCTCCTCAACGTCTTCATCGTCGCCGGTCGCCACGTGCTCCTCTTCCTCTCCGTCTTCCTCCTCAAGCAGCTCTGTGGCGTCATGCGTGATTGGGGGAGCAGTATGAGCACAAAAGCGGCTTTGCCATGGTCGCATAGAAAACAGAAACACAGTCCAAGCAAGCCCAAAACACAGGTGCACACACACAGACACACAGACACACACCGTCATCGGATGGAGGGACGTCTTCGTGGACGGGAGCTGCCTCGTCTTCTTCCTCGTCTTCTTCCTTCTCGTTGTTCTTGGCTTCCTCCTCGTCTCGCTTCTGCACTTCCTCCCGCTCTTCTTCAGGTTCAGGATCAGCGCTCACGTCATCGCCGCCGCCAACAGCCGCCGCCTCGCGGTCCGGTTGCTCCTGCTCTTGCTCCTGCTCCTGCTCGGCCGTCGCGTCACCGCTGTCAGCATCGCAGTCGCCAGCGTCTTCGTCCTCGTCGTGGGTAAAGGCGCCTGTCTCCGCCTCCGTCACGCGCTTGTGCACTGCCCCGCTGCCGCCCACGTGCTCGTATTCGGTGTCAGTGCGTGTGCCGACCTCCCTGTGCTGAGCCGTCTCCAGCGCCTGCATCTTCGCCTTCAGCGAACCGGCGGCAGTGGTGCCGGTGTCCACCTCCTTGTGGGCAACAGGTCGTGTCGCGTGCTCACGAAGACTTGATACCTTTGCACTGAGGTCCACGTGCACGTCCGGCACGTCTGTCTTGGCGACGGGTCTGGCGGCACTGGCAGCCATCTGCTCCATCGTCTGCTTCACCTTCACAGACATGGACCGCTTCCTGCAGCAGAAGGTGGGAATGGGGGGGGGGTGTTGGCAGGGTTGGTGTGTTGCGTGGGGGATATGAGCGTTGGCAGCAGGAGCGTGTTGCACGTTACCCATGAGCACATGCATGCGCAGATTGGTGTTGGGCGTGGGAGGGCGATGAACGAGCAAGTTCACGATGCTGTGGAGCAGCAGCAACGCAAGCACAAACCACCAAACAAGCAACACGCACACACACGCGCGCGCACACAAACAAACAACTCACAAACTAACAAACAAACCAACACACACACACACAGAGACACACAAACACACACACACAGACACAGACATACACACAACGCGACAAGTGGTCAAAGAAGCTCACATGGGCTTCTCCTCAATTGGCGTGCCCGTGACAGAGTTGGCCTGCTCAAACACTGCAAGACAATCAGCACAGGTGCACGTGAGCATGCGTGTGAACAACACACACTAGTGTGACGTGTAACACGGTCACAGACAGACAAGAACAAGACCAACACCAACAAGAACAAGACCAACACCAACAAGAACAAGCACAAGAACACCAACCACCAGCAGGTGTTCTGGCACCTTGGAGTTTCGAGCGAAGAGAGCCGCCACCTTGGCGCGCACGCGTGATGCCAGGGGACCGGAACTTCTCTGCCTCAAGCTGATCGTATTTGGCGGCAACAGCGGCAACACTGCCCTTGCTGCGGGGCGTCGCATCAACGCCACCGTCACCACCGCCATCACCGCCACCCTCACCGTTTGCCACGCCCCCGTGCTCGTGCTCCTCATCGCTGTCATCGGCCGGCCTGCCCCCACGTGCCAGTGCAGCCTCGTATGCTGCCACTTTGGCGCTGCGGCGGCGCGTGCCCGGCGACTTGTGCTCGTCGCCGCCATCGCCGCCGTGCGCTGGGCTGGCGAGGTGCGATACGGCCTGCTGGTACGCCGCAAGTTTCTGCTTCAGCGAGACGGGGGAGGACGTATCTTCACGCTCTGCAGCCGCAGGCGCTGTATGCACCTCTTCCTGGTGCTCGTCGTCCTGCGCCTTTGCTGCGGGCTTGGGTGGCGACGGCTTGCTGCTCACGGCAGGGCCGGTCTTCTTCACCTGCGCCGCGGGCTTTGCACTCCGCGCTACTTTCTGTCGCGTTGGTGTGGCAGCAGCAGCAGCAGATGAGGAGGTGGAGGGTGGTGCCTTTGGCGTGGGGGCGGCGGCAGCATCGCCATCACCGCCACCGGATTTGCCGTGGCGGAACGATGCGCGCATGGCTGTGCGGAAGCGAATTGGTTTCGTGCTGGCGTTGGCCTGGCTGGCGCGCGCCATGCTCGGGCTCGTGGGCGGCAGCACCCGACCCTCCACCGCTTGCTCCTCTTCTTTTCCCGTTGTTGGTGACACAGCCTGTGGCTGTTCTTCCTTGTCCTCCTCCTCCTCTTCTTCTTGTTGCTGCTGTTGCTGCTTCGTCTTCTTGCGCTGCTGGCGCTTCCTCATGGCCTCCTCAGCAGCAGACAACTTGGTCGTCTTCTTTGTCGTGGTCGTGGTGACCCGCGCAGTGGTGCGCGTCTGCGTCACCTCCTCCACCTTCACGCCACCGTCGTCTTCGCCTTCGCCTTCATGCTCCTGCTCTTCCTCCTGCTGCGGCGCTGTCTCGTCCGATTCCTCGTCCGTCGGTTCTTCAACGTCAAAGTCGCCTGATGTTTTGTCGTGCGCGTGCGTGTGCGTGTGCGTGTATGTGAGCATGGGTATTGTATTCATGTGCATGTGCGTGCAGAGGAACTGCGTGTTCAATTTGTACTGCTGCACAAGTATTTCAAAGTGGCAGCATTGAAAGCAACATGGCCAATAACCATTGCCCATGATATTGAGATACAACACACACACAGCACACACACACACAGCACACACGCACACACACACACACACACACGCACACGAACGTACCCTGGTCGGATGGCGTCTTGGATGTCTTTGGAACATCGATGACCTCAATGTCGACGGTATCGGAGACGACCACCACGTGCTGCTCAACCACTTCCTCTTCCTGCTCCTTCACCTTCTTCGCAGCACTGGTCGCCTTTGCAGGGGACGCGCCACCCTTGCTCGCGCGCCCTTTGCTTGTACGCTTGCCCGCACCTGCGGACTTGGCGGGCGTGCGGCGCGCTGCAGCCGATGACGTGCGTTTGCCTGCAGGCACGCCCTGCTGCCGCTTCTTGGCAGCCGATGAAGCAGCAGCAGAAGAAGCAGCGCGGGGCGTTGGGGTGCGGCCCTTGCCTGTAGCGCTCGTCGCACGGCCCTGGAGCACGGAATGGGAGTAGTGGTAAGGTGGAGGGAAAAGAGAAGAAGGAGCAATGCGTTGGGTCGGGGGTGGGGGTGGAATAAAAGGCAGGTGAGGAGTGGAACTAGGAGGAGGAGGCAGGTCGAAGGAACAGCGTGCAAAGACGAGCGACTGCATTGCACTTGGGGGTACACGAGTGAATATGCAATTTCCAATCGCATGAGTACTTCCTCACTCCTCTCCTTGTCTGCCAATGTGATCTCACCGCTGGTGTGCGGGCGGAAGCAGCCCGGCCCGCTGCCGACGATGTCTTGCGCGCGGGCGTACGGGCGCTGCTGGAGGCGCCACGCTGATGCACGCAAGCACGCGACAAGGTGTATGCCAGTCACGAATGAGCAGTGCGCAACGAGCGTGGGAGTGGTGGGTAGCATGTGCACTGTGTCTGACGTGCTTTTCGTGTGATTGTGCCTGTACCTTGGTTGCCGAAGTTGGGGTCTTCTTGGCACTTGCCGACTTTGCCCTGTCGCGTACAATTGGCCGCAAAGTGAGTGTCACAAAGACGCAAGCACACACACACACATACACACATACACACACACACACATACACACCGTGGAGAAGCCTTGGTTGTCGTCGTTGTCTTCTTGGCGGGTGACTTGGCGGCGGAATCCTCACCCTGTGCCCACGATTGCAGTCGTTTGGTTCAACATTGGCAGTAAGCTGGTGTGTGGTCGGGTGCGTGCATACATCCACGCATGTGCACGCCACCAAACGCGCACAGATGGACACGAACTCGCACACAAACACACACACGAACTCGCACACAAACACACACACACACACACACACACACACACACACACACGCACGCATGCACATGCGACCGACCTTGGGTTTGAGAAACTTGACCATACCGGCGGAGACAAACACGCCGTGGCTCGGCGGGCACTTGAAGTAGCGCACGCCCTTCACAGCCCCATCATTGAGGCCCTGTGCTCACACATCACATCACAGAGTGCACAAATAACACAGCCCAATTTTGACAAAGGGCCAAGGTCAATGGCAGTAGCAACCATCAAGTCAGAGAGAAGAGAAGGAAAGGACGCAAACGTGCGTGTGTGTGTGTGTGTCACGCAAGATAAACGGGTCACGTGGGAGGCACAACATCGTATCAGTAGCAGGCAGCAGCGGCACATGACTGCAATCAAGGGCCCCCTCACGTTGGGTTTGTCCAGGAACACGCCCGCCAGCTTGCTTGTCCTGAGATGGCCACAGTTGGACACAGAGGTGGCAAATGGAATGGGTAAGCAGCAGTAAAGTGAGTTTGGAGTTGTGGTGATATTCACGCTTACAGTAAAGAACGGCAGTAGATGAAGACAGTGACACCGGGCCTCACCCACAGCCTCGCACGACTCACTTTGCGCCTTTGATGGGTCCCCAGTACGCGAGTGTGCCATTGCCACGCCCTTCAACTTTCACGCGGTTCCCAATCCATGTTTCCAGCTTCTTGTGCTGTGTAGTACAATAATGGTGTGGTACTCGTGACACCCGCGTGACAGCGCATAGATGCAAGGGCAAGATGGCCATTCATACAAGACACAGTGCATTCACAGCGCACACAGTGCAACATACTCGGTGCAAGCACGCTTGCGCACACGACAACACACAAACACACAACACGCACGCACACACACACACACACACACACACACATTCACACCTTGGCAGAGGACATGATGGCAAATCCCGTGGAAGCAAAGGGGGAGCTGTCCTTCCTCTGGTTTCTGTGCCGTCCGTGCAAGAATCACCCACAACAAAATACAAACAAACACCACAGTTAAGCAACGGCAACCACCAGCACATGCATCAATCAAAGGCGAACAACACAGCCATCTCACTCCCTGCTATCGCCCTGCTTGCACCTCTTCGCTGCCTTCTTGTCTTCCTCACCACTGCACCTCCTCACGCACGCCATGTCCATCCATCCATGTCCGCTCTTTCGCCACCTCTGCCCTCCGCCATCCAAACGCCAGCACCTCCTCTTACCACCACACTAACCACTCACCCACTGTTGCTTTGACGGTTTTTCGTTTGGACGCAATGTAGAAAGTTTGTTGGAAACTTTACTCAACCCTCCGCAACATCATCACACTTGCGGTTCATGAAGCAACAAAGAAGCCAAGAAACAAGCCATCACCCAACACGCCTGCACTTCACGACGCGCACACGCAGATGCGAGAGCGAGAAGGTTCCGTCGCACACACGCGCACGCTTTGTTGCCTTCCCTATGTTGAGGTGACGTGATGATGTGAGCTTGGGCCTGCTCGAGTGTACTCAGTTGCATTCAGTGTTGCGTTCACTTGTTCATGGTTATTCTGTCGTCTCATTCACCACGAGCACAGCAACCACACACCAGCCACAAGGGTCATATTTTCTCATCAACACCGCCCCTCCCCCCTCCTCCCCATCTGGCCTGTTCACCATTCACCCAGCAACCAAATTAACGCTTGAGCGCCTCCTCTCTCCACATTGCAGCTACCCGTCACCCTTCGACACACGTCCTAGGCAGCCATGTCGACGACGGAGAGCATGTCCAGCGGGCAGCGCATACCGGCCCACATCCACTCGCCGCGGTCCATCAGCTCCATCGTGGTCCTCGACATTGAGGTACAGGCTCTCCATGCGTGTTGGCATGCGTTGTTGGCTTTGCTTGTTTTCCGGGGAGGGGAATGGGCGTGTCCACTCTGTGACAGAATGCATGCATGCTTGCGTCTTGACTGGCTAATCATGGTGCCAGATGTTGCCCTGGCCGAGCATGTCACACGACACAGCCCCACCATTTGTGCCCTTGAAAGCAGTGCTCACATGAGTTGGGTGGGTGGCTTTTTGTCGATGCTTCTGCACACGTGCATGATAGCGGAGCACCTCGCTGTTCAAGTGGAACATGTGGACTGCCCTCTTCAATCTCCTGACAAGCTTCATCATCTTTGCTCTCACAGATCAAGGCAACGTACGACTGAACTGGCTCTGTGTGTGTGTGTGTGTGTGTGTGTGTGTGTGTGTGTGTGTGTGTGTGTGTGTGTGTGTGTGTGTGTGTTGGGGGGGGGGCGATGTGGGTGGTCCACTGCCTATGTTACTGGAGTCGCGGTTGCGACTGTTGCTCGTATATGTCTGGGTGTACCTGTTCTTGGCGCTCACGTTGGTTGTGGCGTTGTTTGCCTCCACGTTAGTATGCGCTTGTGTTTACCACATATGCCAGTGAACGTGGCAACCCTGAGGAATGGGCCCCCGTTGTCAGCAACAAAGGCCGCTCTGTCGTTGGGTAAGTCTGCCTTGTTGCTGCTCTGGAGCCCTTGTGTGTGTGTGTGTGTGCGTGTGTGTTTGTTGTATGCTGGGCTTGGCGTTGTATGTGGGGGATGACACGCGTTTGCTGGGTGCCAGTGTGTTGTGTCATCTCATTTTCTCATTGCTGCGTGCCTTGCTCGCGGCTGTCTTTACCGTCTTGTTGCTGTGCAGGTATTATTCTGGCATCTTTCTACTGCTTGCTGCCCTGGATCACCTGCTTGTGGCGACGGTGCTGCGTCGCTCATACGAAGACTACCTCAAGCTCGCTCAGAACCCGTACAGGTGCCGTTGCCGTGGCGTGTGTGTATATTGTGTGAGTGCGTGCGTTTGTATGACATGCTGTGCGTGCCTATATGTTTGCACATGCGTTGTTGTTGTTGTTGTTGTTGTTGTTGTTGTTGTTGTTGTTGTTGTTGTTGTTGTTGTTGTTGTTGTTGTTGTTGTTGTTGTTGTTGTTGTTGTTGTTTTGTTGTGTGTGTGTTGCCAAAAGTCACGCCGTGTGGCATGCCACCGCGCCCTGTGTGTCACGCCACCCCACACGCTTCCCTCCCTCCCCCTTCTCTCCCTCTCTCAATTTTGCACAACAGCTCACCACGTCCAACTCCACTTGTGTTGCCGTGGTGCACGTGTGACATGCTGCAGGTGGATTGAGTACAGCCTGTCTGCGTCCGTGATGCGGGTGCAGATTGCGCAGCTCTCTGGCGTGCTGGATCTCCACCTCCTCATCGCCATCTTCGGCCTGACCATGTCCACCATGCTCTTTGGCCTCACTCAGGAGATCACAACACACCATCTCCAGGGGCAGCCGGAGAAGAAGACGCTCGTTCCCTTTTGGTCCGTTGCCGTCTTGTGTTGTGTTGTGTTGTGTTGTGTCGTGTCGTGTCGTGTGTGTCTATGTGCGTGTGTTTATGTGTGTGTGTGTCTGTCTATGTTTGAGTGCTTGCTTGCGTCTCTGTGACTGTGTGTAATTCAGTTTTGATAGCCTACCGAGGTCTGCAGCGCTGGGTGTTGCATGTCCATGCACCGTTATGGACATGGTAACCAGACTCGCGATCGTTCTCATGTCTCACCGGATGCTGCGCGTTGCTGCGATGCCACAGGTGTGGGTTCATTCCCCACGTGATTTCTTGGGCAATTGTGACGTCATACTTTTTCCAGGGCGTCAGCACTGGCGTACGTGACTCTGCATGCGTGTGTGTTTGCGAGAGTACAGCCGTGAAGGGTTACATGCGCATGCACGCGTCTGTGGAGGATTTTCATGCGCAAGCAAGTGTGTGCGCTGGCGTACTTCTCTTTCCTTTCTTGCCTTTCTTGGACTGCTTGTTCTGTGCTTTCCTGCCGTTTGCGCGCTGTCGACAACACCCTAGTTCTCACCGCGGGCCTCTGGCTGTTTCGTGCTTTGATGATGATGATGGCAGGATCCACCGGGGTTTGTGTGGGCGATCATCTTCATCCTCTTCTTCTGCGACCTCACCTTTGCCATCAACATGTTCCTGCAGCTCAAGGAGGTGCGTTCGTGGTGTTGAGTGCAACACAATGGACTGTGCGTTTTCGGTAGCTCTCAAATATGCATACTCGCTCACACACACACACACACACGCACACACACACACACACGCACACACACGCACAGATTGGCAAGTGGAAGGACTACTTGTATGGGGAGATTGTCTATCTCGTGCTGTCGCTGACTGCCAAGCAGCTGCTGGCATGGATTAACTATGGAGGCACAAACGCGCTCAACTCATCCTAGTTTACAACAGCACCAACATTGGTGGTGATCGTGGTGATGTTCATCACCTGCCTCCACCACTCACACATACACATGGCTGTGCATCTCTTCCCCTTGCTAATGGTTATTGTCTTGACTCTTTTCCTGCTTCTATCGCTTCTGCCTCTTTCTTTGCACGTGCGTGTATTCCTGTCAGTCTATCGTATTTCTCGGCCCGTATGCTTGCCTGTGTGTGTGCGTGTGTGTGTGTTGTTTGTGCGCTTGTGCAATAATAAATTCTTCGTGCCTGACGGAATGGATTCGATGCCAATTTCAAGGGAAGGAAGACCACAAACACAGCACACAACCACGCCCAACAACTACGAACAAGAACCAACAGCACAGCAGGCGATGGAGGCGAAGCTGGACGCGGCGCTGCAGACAATCCAGCAGCAGCAGGAGAAGATCGAGGAGCTCGAGGACATGGTGCAGGCCCTGCTCAACTGCTACAAGGCATGTGTACATGTATGCGTGACTCTGTGTGTGTGTGTGTGTGTGTGCGTGCGTGTGTGTGTGTGTGTGTGTGTGTGTGTGTGTGTGTGTGTGTGTGTGTGTGTGTGTGTGTGTGTGTGTGTGTGTGCATGATTGAGTGTATGATTGGTTGGTGCGTGAGGCACGGGCAAGTCTGTCAGGTCAGAAGGACAAAGGACAGACAGATTAGGGCAGGTGATGAGGCAGCGGTGGTGCAGCTCTGTCTTGGTGACATGATGTGACTGGATGCCATTCCCTTGCTTTGTGGGGCGATGCCGCTGCTTGGTTCTAGGACGTGGAAGCCCGCCTTGATGACACATTCGACGGCGACTGTGCGTTGGTCGATGGTTTTGTCGGGCGCGTGTTTGAAGTGTTTGAAGGCCTTGGGGGTGCGTGCGTGGTCCCGTGTGCCGCTGCATCATGCTCATAATTGCCCTTTTTGCCATGGTGTGCGGGTTCCAAACACACACACAACAGCGGTTCCGCTGTACGGATCCTGTTACGGGTACCTGCAGAAGCTGAGTGGTGGCATTGCTGGCAGCAAATGGAAGCGGCGATGGTACGATACGTGCGTGTGCGTGTGCGTGTGCGTGTGCGTGTGTGTGTGTACGGATTTAGCGGTCTCACAGTTGTGTGTGTGTGTGTGTGTGTGCGCGCGCGCGCGTGTGTGTTGTTGTTGTTGCAGGTGTGTGCTTGAGAACGACGGCATTCTGTATTATTGGAAGACGGCGGCCGCGGCCACCGATCCCTCTGCAGGTCGGTCCTTGCTGTTTTGCGTGGTTGCGAGGGGTTGGTAGTGGTGGTGGTGTGGATTCTGTCAATCTACGCTGCAGATGCTGCTTCTCATGCTTTGTTTCCCCGTGGTACTTGTTTGTCACGCTTGCTTCCCACTTCCTCCACCCCTGCGATGTGCCATCTCACGTCACTGCAACGTGCATCGTTGAACTGGCAGACAAAGGGGTCATCCCCCTGGCCGGCTACAGCCTCAACGCTGCAAGCGACGACACAGACGTGGGTACCGGCAACACTGTATATGTGTATTGTGTGTGTGTGTGTGTGAGTGTGTGTGTATGACGCTCCTCCACTCCTCTCCCCCGCACGTACGCACTTACACACACACACACACACACTTACACACACACACACACACACACACACACACACACACACACACACACACACGCACGCACACGCACACACACACGCACACATGATGCCACGATGCCGCCGTGCAGCTGACCCTCCGGCTCGTTGGCCCGCACAAGAAGTCGTACGAGTTCCACGCAGAGTCCCGCTCAGACAAGCAGCGCTGGGTCACTGCCATCACAGAGCAGCTCGAACGCATGGAGATTGACAGCACAGGTGCGTGCATGTGTGCGTGTGTGTGTGTATCTGTCGGTCTGTGAGCACGTGCTTGTACTGTTATGTGCTTGTGTGGGCTAGCGTGTATTCGTGTGTACTTGTGTGTACTTTTCTGCATGTATGCATGTTGAAACCATAAACGTGCCCCTTCTGGCGTGTGTGTGCGTGTGCGTTTGCTGAGCGAGCGTTCGTCCCTCACTCTGCTCTGTTGTTGTTGACCTTGCTGATCACCGTGCCATCGCTGCAGGCGGGATGGGCCGGCGACAGAGCGTACACCGCGGCCGCGCAATCTCGCGGTCCAGCACTGTCGGGTGCGTATGCTTGTGTGTGTGTGTGTGTGTGTGTGTGTGTGTGTGTGTGTGTGTGTGTGTTTGTGTCATGTGCTGTGTCTTGCACAACCGTCGCTCTCCCTCTGTGTCTCTTTGCATACACACTGCGCGTGTGCTCTCTTTGTCTTTGTCTCTGTCTGTGTCTCGCTGTCTCGCTGTCTCTGGTCTCTCTCACACACCCACCCACGCGGCCTCCTGGCGCTCATTTGTCGCCGTTCACCCCTTCTCCGTCTCTCTTCCCCTTCTCCCCTTCTCTTCTTCTTCCTCTCGCTTTGCTGCAGGCGCACGTCCCCTGTGAACGAAATCAACTCGTCCCTGCTGGAGACGTGTACCTTCAAAGGATGGGTGCTGCGGTATGCGCAGACGGGCTGGACCCGCGCATACGCCGTCCTCGATGTCAGTCTTCCCGCATGCACACACAAACATGCACACACACACATACACACACAACATGGCCTGCATGCAGCGCTGTGGTTGCTCTTCCTATGCTCCCTCTTGCTCATGTCCTTTCTCTCCTTGTCTGTTGGCGCGTGTGCGTTTATTGTGCACTTTGCAGGCGGATGTGTTGTACATGTACAAGAGTGCACGGGACGCTGCCGGCGCGCTCGTGCTCTACCTCGCTGATGCAACCCTCTCTCCGATATACCCCCGCGATGACCTCTTTACCTTCGAGGTGCGTGCTATCACATGTATGTGTGTACATGTGTATGCATGTGTGTGTGTGTACATGTGTATGCACGTGCGTGTGTATGTGTGTTGGTGTTGATGATGAGCTCAGAAGGAAGGAAGACAGCTTATGAACAAGCTGTATCCATGTTCGCTTATGCTCGCTCGCGCCCACATGTGTACGTCACCTCCTCTGCAGATCCGAACTGCCTCTGGTGGTGCACACACGTTTGGATTCCCGGATGAGGGCGCTTGCAAGAAGTGGCTGGAGCACTTGTCGGCTTCCACCGGTGGCACAAACGCCTCCTCTGCATGACATGCACATACACACACACATACGCCCATACACACATACACCCATACACACACACGCACACACTCACTCATACTCACACACCCATACACACATACTCACACACACACGCTCTCTCTCTCTCTCTCTCCATCTCCATCTTTGCATCTCTCTCCCTCTCCCTCCGCACACGCACGCACACGCACGCACGCACACCCTTTGTTACTGTCGTGGTATATGTAGTAGAAGTTATATTGCGCAAGCACGTGGTGCAAACACACGCACACTCATGCAGCCAGACTCAATTCACCCCATCATTGTGGAAAAGTGGTTGAAGCTGTGACCAGAATTCGGCGAGAGGCGGACGATGATGACCACAACCACAATCAAGCAGCGCTTCACGTGGGATTGCGGGCTGGCGTGCCTGGCCATGGCCTTGCAGTCCCACGCCAGTGAAGACAGTAAACACAGCGAAGATGGTGAAGGAGGGACATGCACGCAGCGACAACCGCAGCAACAACGGGAGGAAGACGCGGTGGAGAACGTGGAAGACCTGAGGTTTGCGCAGCTCAGTCTGAGTGGGAACCACGAAGCCATCCTTGATGACGTCTTGGAGGCGTTCCAAGCATATACGAGCGGGTATGCGTGGACAGTGGAGCTATTGTATGTACTCAAGACAGCGTTTGATACACCGAGTACCCTGTGCACCACCACGACAGTCCTGGACGCAGACGCGTACGCAGACCTGCCCTTCTACAACAACAGCACACAAGCACCCACAATGGACCGCCCACTACACCCACAACACCACCAAGAGCAGCAGCAAGAGCAGCAAGAGCAGCAAGAGCAGCAGCAGCGAGAGCGACCCCTCGACCAGAGCCACGAAGACAAGGAACAACAGGAACGCAGTGGCCAAGAAGGCACAGTTGATGTCATGTCGTGGGCGTTGGACCTCGCTGCACCAGCATGCGGCTCCATGTCCACTCCAACAGCGGCCACAACAGGAGGGACAACCACAGCGTGCGCCACAGCAGCAAGCACATGCGGTCCAAGTGGCGTCGTGAAGCAGAGCGTAGCACAACTGTATGAGACAGAGGCCCCGGCCATGGTGGATGCGCGATTGACACTGGAAGAGCTGCTCACACTGCGAGCTAACGGACTGGCCATCATCGTGCTTGTCAATGTGCTGCAGCTGGACTGCCGTGACTGCGGCCTTCCCACCGCGGACTACACTCAGCCATACATTGGCCACTACATCGTCTTTGAAGGCCTGGCTGCCACAACAGGCGAGCAAGAACACGTGGTGTTCCGGGATCCAGGGCAGGGGCGGTGCTCCGAGAAGTGTGCAGTGCGTCGTGAAGTGTTTGATGCTGCCCGGACCGCCCGTGGCACGGATGACGATATCCTCGTGGTCGGCGCAACGTGCGATCAAGTGAAACAGATACTTCACGATCACCAAGCACAGCAGCGATAACAACACCAACAAGAAGAGCAAGGTGCTTGTTGTTGTTGTTGTTGTTGTTGTTGTTGTTGTTGTTGTTGTTGTTGTTGTTGTTGTTGTTGTTGTTGTACATTGTATCACGTTGCATTGTGCGCTGTGTGTTTTGTAGCCGTGCAGGCAAAGCCTTGAATAAGCGAGTTCCACTTCAATTAAAGTTTATAACAGAAACAACACGTCATTTGAGGCGAAGCGCTTGCAGCAGCAACACCACAAACCTGTGAACATGCCAACAAACCAAAGCCATCACAGTAACGCCCCTCCACCATCATCACTCCTCCACCCACTGCATGGGTGATTGCTGCTCACGACGCCATCTGCTTGCACATCCACGCGAGGCACCACTTGAGGTTGGTGAGCATGAACTTGAGGGCCTTGGTCCAGTTCTCCTCCGTGTTGTTCTGCATGCATATGGAGAGGTTCTGCTTCCCGTCGCTGATTGTCCCGTCCGCGTTGACGGCATACGGCAGCTTGAAGTGCGGATCATGCGAATCGACATTGTCCTTGAACTGCAAGAAGGTGAACAATGTCCGTGTGTGTGTGTGTGTGTGTGCGTGAATATATGAGCGTGTGAATGTGAATGCGTGTCAATGTGTGTGCGTGTAAATGTGTGTGTGTGTTGTGTTTCAAGAGCACAATCAAAGTGTATGTTACTCAAAACGCCGCGGTCTGCATCCGTCCTCACAAATGTGCATCGTGAAAGCTACGATCGCACACACACACACACACACACACACACACACACACACACACACACACACACACACACACACACACACACACAACACACCTGGCGAACACATTCGAGAAAGTGCTTCATTCCGCTGTCAAACCTGACAGACGACGAAATGACATGCAGAGGAAGGTTTCGGGTGAGACAGTCATGGCGGCACATAGACAGACATACAGACAGACAGACAGACAGACAGACAGACATACAGACAGACAGACAGACAGACACACACACACACACACACACACACACACACGAACGCGCACGTGTCAAGTACTTTGGGTCTGAGAAGAATCGGGACCCTGATCCGAAGAGTGGGAGGTCCTCTGCGGGCTCCGTATCCGACCGCTCGACGCGAATCCGCGATGAACTCCCGTTGGGCAGCAGCTGCCGCCTGGTTGAGCGAGGGTTGGATGTGCATGTGCATGTGTGTGTGTGTGTGTGTGTGTGTGTGTGTGTCCGTGTGCGTGTGAGTATGTGTGTGTGTATTGACTTGAAGGCAATGCTTGCCCATCAACCACAAACATCACCAACCGCAATGTCAACATCAGCACCAATGTCACCGTCAACAAAGACAATACAACAGCCACATCACATGCATGCGTGTGCTTGCCGCACCCCTTGAATGTGATGCCGAGGCGTTGGGCCATGATGTAGAGCAGCAGCACAGTGTGGCCCCAGCCCGCATTCACCTCGCCCCACGACACCTGCACACCGAGGCAGCGGTGGTGGTGGTGGTTGATGTTCGTGAGGACGATCAGCGTTGTTATTGTTTGATGATATTGGATGGTTTGTGAACGCATGGGAGGCACACGTGACCCATTGCACAGTGAAATTCAAAGCAAGTACTACTTCAATTACTTCAACAGCTACAGCTACACCACCACCGCCACCACCACCACCACCACCAACACGACCATGCCGACCACGACTGACCGGAACAGACGGGAGGCGGCCGAGACGAAAGCCGTTGATTGTGCCAAAGTGCGAATCGTACCTGACGACGCAAGATGTGATGTGATGTGATGCCGTGTGTGGTGATGTGACGTGAGGTGAGTGGCGTTGACATGTCATGTCGCAGATGATGCAGAGAAGATACCAGCCAGCAATAATCCCACGTTCACACGTTGCCAGCGGGTGCGCACCAGATGTGGAACGTGTCGTTGAAGACGTTTGTCTTCTTGAGCGCCTCCAAGTGCTGCGACGCCTGGTGGTACTGGTGCTCAACACTAAACAAACGCACACACACACACATGTGTGTGTGCAGCACAGCAGTCATGGTGAGGCCTTGCTGAAGTCGCTGTGTGTGTGTGTGTGTGTGTGTGTGTGTGTGTGTGTGTGTGTGTGTGTGTGTGTGTGTGTGTGTGTGTGTTTTCTGAGATGACAACGGAGGAAGGGCTGTCCATCGTGCGCTCGTGAACGCACCTGTCCTGCCGCTCCTCAAACTCAATCAGCTGTCGCTGGTAATCGTTGTACTCCCGCCAATACCTGCAGCAGACACAACGGCCACGTGTGTGTGTGTGTGTGTGTGTGTGTGTGTGTGTGTGTGTGTGTGTGTGTGTGTGTGTGTGTGTGCGAAGATGTGTGTGAGGAGGTGCACATGCGTAGAGCTTGAATGTGCCTGGTAGGCAACTGTCCGTGAATCAAATGGTCGCACTCTGCCATCGACGAGTCCACACTCCCCCCCCTTCCCCTTCTTCGCCTCCCTCCCCCTTCCTGCAACAACAGCGGGCATTGGTGTGCGGTTGTGCGTACTTTTCCTCCTCCTCCTCCAGGACCTTCAGCTCCGCCTCCTGCGCCGCTTTCATTTGCGCAATCTCCGCTGGTGTTGCGCACACGCATGCACACGCATGTCATGGGCACGTGAGGTGTTTGAGGAGTCAAGGAGCGCTGGCCTTCAAAACACACAGACACATATACAAGCACACATGTACGTAGGAGAGTGCAGGTGCGTGTACAGCATCGCATGCGTTGGGAACCACCTCGCTGCTTCTCCTGCTCTTCAATCTCTGCCAACGCCTCTTTCTCCTGCTTCTCAAGCTGATGATTGTGATGATTTTGAGGATGGACATCCAGTGACGAAAGGACGTGAATGGGTCGGAACAAAACACGAAAAAAAACCCCACGCACACTGTCTCTCTGTGTGTGTGTCTCGCACACACACACGCACACATTCTCGCACAAGCAGTCACACACACACACAAGCACACACAAGCACACACAAGCACACATGTACATCACTGACCTCTGCAATCTCGGCCTCGATTTCTTCAACTGAGGTCGTGACCTTCAGAGACGACAGCTCATCCCACAACGCTCTGAATGACACACACACACACACACACACACACACACACACACACACACACACACACACACACACACACACACACACACACACACACACACACACACACACACACACCGTGTCAACCACGCGTGGAAAGGCAGGCTGTGCAAGCACTGATGTTCTCAGCGCTTGGCTGTGATGGGAAACACGTTCTACCTTCCCTTCAATGCCCTCCCCCAGTCCACACGTACTCGTAATCCTGCTTCTCCTTGTGCGCGTGTTGCAGCTCGTCATCAAGTTGATCCAGCAGCGAATCCGTGCACGCCTGCCAGCAAGAATCCAAGAATCAGCAGGTCAACAACACTGTGAGCAACGCAACGCAGCGCTCGCAGCACAATGACCATGGTACCACAGGATGGCTGAACAAACAGCTATTGTGAACAGTGCGTTGCAGGCTTGGCGCACCTGGCACAGCGGGTGGTCGAGGTTTGTTCGGGAGGAGAGAAAGTCGAATAGCGCCATCGCAGACTGAAAACCACAAGCGGGTTTCGGGAATGTGAGCAGGGGAGTGAGCAAGCGGTGAGCAAGCGGTGAGCAAAGAGTGAGAAAGGAGTGAGCAAGGAGTGAGCAAGCGGTGAGCAAGCGGTGAGCAACCCATCCTGCACAGTTGTACGGACGTGCAACCGCACCTGGTTCTGCTGCTCCTTGGTGTTCTGTGACGAGTTGTCATCCAAGTTGCCAAAGTTTGGTCGAACGTACCTGCACATGGCATGTGCATGTGTGCAGGATTGGTTCAGACGACACGTCGGAAGCTGTGGGGCAGTTTTGAGCATGCATATCAACATGCAGACACACATCGACACATGTACTGGCAGGCAGACAGATGGACAGATGGATGAACGGACAGAGAGAGAGAGAGAGAGAGAGAGAGAGAGAGAGAGAGAGACACACACACACACACACACACGCACGCACAGACAGACAAACACGCACACAGACAGACAAACACGCACATACACACGCACTTGTCGTCGACAATGTCTGTAAAGTTTTCGTCGTCTGCATCGCCAACGGTGGGCTCTGCTGGTGCCTTGACAGAGGACAACTCTACACGGAAAGGAGAACAATCGAACCACAACTCCCCGCGTCAGTGGAACAACAACATTCGATCATACACACACACACACACACACACACACACACACACACACACACACACACACACACACACACACACACAACAACCGAAGCAAGGCAGCGAAGCAACGCGAAACAAACAAACCAAACAACCAAACAACCACACACGCTCCTTTGTTCCCCAAAGGCTTTGCGTCTCACCTCGTGCAAACGTCTCCCTCCTGCCCGCGGTGACATCTGAGAAGTCTGCATCCAGCTTCAACGGGGCACGGCACGCCTGGCAGCAGAAGCCGACCATCGTCGTCTGCGGCGTCGTCGCTGAGGTGGACGTCATCGCTCTTTTTGTGCTGCTGCCTGTTGTTCGCTTCGCTTTTGTCTTGCTTCTTGCTTGCTTCTTGTATTGGTGGGTGGTTCAATGAAACTGATTTCAGTTGTTTATCAAAGGCAAGTTTGCCTTTCAGATGAAAGGCAGATTTCTATTTTTACGCCGTGAGCGGACAGGACTCGCCATCCACACACTGCCGCGCACCCCACAAACACACAAACGCGGAACTGCGGTGTTGTCTGTTTGGAAAGTGCAGTGTTGTCACATCTGGCGTGCCTCCACAACAGCAGGCAATGCAAGGCAAACAGCAGCAGCAGCAGCAGCAACAACAACGCAATGAACAGTCACAGCATGCAGCCAACAAGCAGATGTGCAGCGGTGGAAGCTGTGGAGGGAACATAACTGCAACAACAGCAACAGGATGAATGGAGACACAACGTTCGGTTGTTCATTTTCCTCCACTGTGCCAACAACAAGACAGCAGCAGCAGCACCACCACCACTACCACCACCACCAACAGCAGCGATCAACGCCAGAGAGCGCGGTTTGAAGCATCAGCCAAGGCAGCCAGAGCAGCAGCAACGCTCCAGACACGAACAAGAACCGGTATCCATCACGTGACAGCGAGCGACTCGGCAACACATCGAAGAACAAGAAGAACAAGAAGAACAAGAAGAAGCACTCCAGCAGACACACACACACGTACGCAGCGCAGCCATGACGACGGCTCAAATGTACTCGTTCCACATGGACTACGATTACCTTTTCAAGTTCATCATCGTGGGCGACGCAAGCACTGGCAAGACAAGCCTGATCAGCAGGTACACACACGGCGTCTTCCCAGACACAACCGTGGAGACCGTTGGCGTGGACTTTTTCTTCCACCAGCTTAACCTCGAGGGCAGCAAACTCAAGGTGCGTGTGTGTGTGTGTGTGTGTGTGTGTGTGTGTGTGTGTGTGTGTGTGTGTGTGTGTGTGTGTGTGTGTGTGTGTGAGGGAGGGGTACTTGTGCGTGTTTGCGTGTGCATGTGCGACTGTAGGTCCATCTATCTCTTAACGTGCGCAATCACACACACACACAACCACATCCACAGGTCCAAATCTGGGACACAGCCGGGCAAGAGCGCTTCCAGTCAATTATTCGCAGCTACTACCGCGGCTCCCACGTGAGTTTGTCTCTCTTACTGACCCTTGCGTGGCGTGTATGTGTGCGTGTATGTGTGCGTGTGTGTGATGTGTGATCGTTGCACACTTGCAGTTGTCCCACGTGCGAGTTACCACACGACAACACCAGAGCCCATTCCATCAACATGTACATCCTAACACATACACATGCATGCATCACCGCCTCTTGCTTTTCGTTAGGCCGTCATCTACACATACGATGTCACAGACCCAGACAGCTTCGACAACCTCTCGCGGTGAGTGCCGTGCTCCCGTGTTTTGTGTTTGTTCAGGTAAAGCACATGCATGTGCGCACACAGGTTGCGCGCACACACACACGCACACACACGCACGCACATTCATGCACACACTTGCTCACACGTGTTACCGCTTGTCATGTGTTGCTGTTGCTTGGTAGGCGGTGGTTCCCTGACACAGAGGCGCACATCGCACCCGGCACGCTCAAGGTGCTGGTGGCGAACAAGAGCGACCACCACCGCGCGCTGCCAAATCTGATTGAGCGCGGGCGCGCGCTGGCTGAGGAGCGGGACATGCCATTCTGCGTCGTGTCTGCCAAGACGGGGTCCAACGTCGACCGCACCTTCACCACGCTTGCAGAGGACTGCCTCCGCGCTGTGCAGGCAAACAAGCTCTCCGTGCGCAGGCGAAAGCCACTCGATCTCTCCAAGAAGGTGCCGATCAAGATGCCAACGAAGTCGTCCTCCATCTTCTCCTCCTGGTGCTCTCTCCTCTAGGGCGTGCGGGCGCTGTCATGCTCTCCACATCAGCACGCTGATGCCACGTTGTGTGCACTCAATCCCACACACACACACACACACACACACACACACACACACACACACACACACACACACACACACGCACACACACACGCACACACACACATACAGTTGGATGCGCTTTGTTCTGAGCTCGTGGTGCTTGCTGTTACATCGAGTTTACTTGGTGTGTGCGCCCCCCTCTTCCCTTGTTTCTCGTTCTTCCGTGCACCATTAGTTTTGTTAGCTCTGTTTTGACCTTTAGGAACTGTCGCTTGTCATCTATTTTGTGCTCCCCTGCGCTGACATGATATAAACACTTGATCCGTGATTCGCAGCCACGGTCACTAAGAGAAACACACACACACACACACAACACACACACACGTAAGGAGGGCTAGGAGAAGAAACTCCGCATGACGCCCGCAAACGCCGATGTCTGCGCCGTCTCGTGACACCTCCTGTGCAGGTCCTCCGCCTCCTCCTCCAAGCCAGCAGCCCGCAGCTGCATGCACAGCCCTTCCTCGTGCACCTTCACCGCAGCGTCCACGTTTGGCAGCAGCACAACGTCGTTCTGCTGCACGGCGTCCACAATCGTATCGCGCACGCGCACATACAGCCACGTGCCAGCAATCTGCGGCAGCAAGTGGAGCCTGCAGGCAATAAACGTCAGCACTTTGCGGCTGCGACGGCTGTCCTCCCTCGGCCGCAGCTGCTCCCAGTGCTCTTTACCGCGCTGATTTGCCAGCAGCCATGCTGTCGCCTGCAGCGGGTGCTGATCACGGAGGTTACCCAGCGCGCGCTCGACAGTCGCTGGCGGTAGTTCGTGATGTGCAAACTTGGCCTTGAACGCACACAGCATCAGGAACGTGTCGCCGTCCGCATCATGGACCAGCGCCATCTTGCACAGCAGCTCCCACGCAGCAGCAAGGCTCCCCTCTGCCCACCGCTGCTTCCCATCACCATCACCATCACCATCACCATCACCATCACGGCTGATGTGCGGGGCGACAAATGCGCGGTGCCAGGTGTTGAGGAGCGCTGGGCCGAGCAGGAAGCGGTCGGTGCTGCTGCCGGCCTCAGCCAGCACAATCTGCACCAGCGACACGGCGTCTGCACCACGCCACATGGACACGTCCACGCCAAGCGCCTGCATGAAGGAAGCAGGGCGGCGTTGGGGTTGGGGTTGGGGTTGGGTTGTGAGCGGTGGATGAATGGGAAAGAGAACGAGCTGGTGATCACGCATTAGATTGCTGCAAATGCAAGCAACGAATGACGCCAGCAATTCTCTTCCGCAATCACACACACACAGACACACACACACACAGACACACACACACACAGACACAGACACAGACACACACACACACACACACACACCACGTGTGCCCACCTCGTGCAAGTGTTTGGCGACGGAGAGTTTCCCGACGATGCGGTTCAGGACATCATCATCCCCTTCGCCATCGCCCTCGCTGTCACCATCACTGTCATCGTCGTCGTCATCCCACGTGTCGATGCGGTGCTGGTGGGCGGCCAGCAGCTTCGTGGCCTGCAACTTGAATCCAACCTCCTCACTCGACACTTCCGATGACAGCACATATGCACGCACTTCGCCAAGCGCAACGCGCAGCAAATCATGCGGGTGAACACTCCACTCGTCGTCATCGTCATCACTATCGTCATCATCATCGTCACTTGCGTTGTGGGCGTCGTGTGCTTGGTGCTTCTGTGCATCAGCTGCAGCTGCGAGTGTGTCCACGACGGCTTTGAGTGCACCCGTCGCCTCACACGCCAGCGGTTCTGCAGCAAACGCAGCGCGCACACACGCGCTCATCTCGGGCGTGCGCGTGTGTGCGTATGTGGCGATGAGAGCGCAAACGGCGTCCGATACCGCTGCCTCAAGATCGCGCACATCATCGCCCGCAATCACCGCAGCGGCAATCTGTCGGTACATGTATGCGGGTATGCGCGTGTATATGTGTATGTATGTGTATGTGTGTGCATGTATGTGTATGTGTGTGCATGTATGTGTGCGCGTGCGTGTGTGTGAGCGTGGGCGTGTGTGTAAGCGTGTGTGTAAGCGTGTAGCAAGGAAGAGCACAGCCATCCTACTAGCACGCCAGCAACAACCACACCACGACAGCACCATGACCATCATTGAGCTTGTGCGGAACCTTGAAGTCGCGGGTGGTTGCGATGACGCGAACAGCGAATGCAAACAGACAATCCGCATCATCACCGCACTCGAGAAACATCTGCTCATAGTCGTCGCCCAGCTGTGCAACGCGGTGGGACAACTAAGTGGTGTGTGGTGTGCATGTGTGTGGTGTGCATGTGTGTGCGTGTGATATGTGAATGTGTGTGTGTGCGTGTGATTGTGGGATGTGTTGCGTCGTGAGGAGAAATCAGCGGTGCATCAATTCGTATTGACAGGTGTTGCAGCACGCCCGCACAACGATAAACGCAACACACATACACACATACAACACCTACACATAACACACACACACACACGCACACACCCTCTCTCTCTCTCTCTCCTTCTGTGTTGCACGGCATTGACCACACAGCCTCACCCTCATCGCTGGCTCCGCCGTCAGCTTCTTCCTCCTCTCCACCATTCGCTCGATGGTCAGGGCTGTCAATGTGAAGAGTAAACAAGAAGAACATCAGTCAGCACCAAGCACGGGAGCAACCAGCACGAGGCGTGGTAACAGGTGGCCAGAACAACGAAGTCACATGTACGCAAGTGCCACTGGTCAAAACAGAGCGGCAACTGCACCATCCACTCATCACTACACACCATCGTCGTCGTTGTCGCTGTTGGCCGTTTGGCGCGCTCGTTTGATGGCGGATTTGTAGCAAAACGAAATGACGACACGCGGCCAGTTCTCATCCACACACACGCGCAGGAACTGTTGGGAGTGGAGGAAAATAGAGAAGGAGGCGGCATGTGAGGTGTAGTACAGATGAATGCATGCTGCAGCACACACCAACAAACACACACGCACATGACGTGTATTGAGACTCAACGCTAACATGCACACAATGCACACACGCACACACACACACACACACACAGACACACACACACAGACACACACACAGACACACACACACACACACACACACACACACACACACACACACACACACACACACAAACGTGCACGTTCAGGCATGACAGCCCACCAATCTTCACCTGTTCCAACTCCGCTGGCGCTGCGCCATCAAGAAACGCAATCGCTGATTCCCACATGTCCACAAACGAGCGCGGGACGGGGTCCGATGAGTGCACGTGTGGCAGTTGCGCCGACTGCACCTCTTGGACGGCCAGCAGCATCAGCACCTGGTGTGTGCGTGTTGGGAAGGGGGAGGAAAAGGCGAGGCGGAGGAGGAGACAAAAGGGAAAAGTGGCGAGTAATTACATTGAGGACAGCACGATGACACGTCATTGCATGCAGCTCTTATCACACACACACGCACGCACACACACACGCACGCACACACACACACACACGCACAGACACACACAGGGCATCTGACCTGCATCTTTGTAAGTGTGCACACGCGTGGGAGTTGCTCTGCCAACATGTCCACGTTATCCCGCGTCACAGCAGGCTTGATGGCCATCATCAGTGGCGACAGCACAAAATGCTGCTGCTGCTGCTGTTGTTGTTGTTCTGGCTCCTCCTCCTCCTTATCACCATCGGCTGCGGATGTGTGGGTGGCGACGATGCGTTTGTAGTCGCTAATGTTCACGCGGGCGGTCCTGAGGGCGTTGATCACCTCAACATGTACGGATGCGGGCTCCTGGTGATGGGGACATGATTGTGAAGGAGAGCAAGTGAGAAGAGTGCGGGAATCAGACGATGATGCAAGTGGAGCATTGTTTGCAAGCAGTTGCCCAAACGTAATATCAATGTCACTCACTCACTCACCCACCCACTCAAGCACCCACTCACCCACCCACTCACCCACCCACTCACTCACTGACTCACGCACTCACTCACTCACTCACATACACACACACACATACGCACAAGAGCGAGTACCTGCAACACCGTGATCTGTTGCCCCGTCTTGTGTTGCGCTGCTGCTTCAAACGCCGCACACACGCGCGCGAACGTCTCGACGCCTTCAAGATCGGCGTAGGAACTGCGATCCCAGATGGACCGAAGCAGCTGCAGGCACGCAACATGCAACGCGTTGGGGGGGGGTGTTGTGTGCGTGTGAATCTATTGGGTATCAAATGGCCAACAACTGAAGGTGATCGCCACACACACACACACACAGAGAGAGAGAGAGAGAGAGAGAGAGAGAGAGAGAGAGAGAGAGAGAGAGAGAGAGAGAGAGAGAGAGAGAGAG